CTATTGGTGTGCGTGGGCCCCTTAGCTGTGTCTCGGTGGCAGCATGGCCATCACTGCTGCCCCCACAGTGCTGAGCGGACTGCAGGGAGATGCAGCTGGAGGTGGGGAGCAGCCCAGGTTCTCGGGAGGAGAAGGGTGCGGCCCTCACTGGTCCTTTCCCTTTATCCCTTCTCTCTTTTCACCCCGAAACAAAGCCCTCCGGTGCTGCAAATGTGGGGACCTGTGGGCCCGGAAGGGCTGGGTTGCCCAGGCGGGGAGGGCTCTCCCACCCGTGCCCTGCTCCTGCCCCACTGTCCACATGCCACCTTCCTCTCCTTTGGTGTTAAGGTGTAGCTGGACTGCTGAGAGGAGCTGTCCCCGACTGTCCACTCCCCTGGCTGACCACGCCTGGCCTGGAGAGGCAAGCTGTTGCCTGCAGCGCATGATCCAAGCTGGGCGGGCGATCGGAGCCGAGCACTCAGAGCGAAGAGCTCGGCTTGTAGCTCACAGCTCCTCCCCAGCCTGGAGGCGTTCCCTGACATGGGATCTGTGGCCCGTCCGGAACTGCTTCCTCTAATTGCTCCCGACGTGAGATCTGTGGCCCCTCCGGAACTGCTTCCTCTAATTGCTCCCGACGTGGGATCTGTGGCCCCTCCGGAACTGCTCCCTCTAATTGCTGAAAAGATGCCCTTTCAGGGCAGCATTTGAATGGCAAGGTCTCACAAGTGGGAGAAATCCGCGTGTGGACCGTGGAGAGCTCCTCGGAGTGGCACTGGGCCATGTCTCCCTGTCTTGAACGGCCCCCGGGTGTGAGTCTGCGCATGGCCACCCAGCACAGCCGTGTGTGCCGCAGACATGGTGCCAGGGCTCCGATCGGAGGCCCATCTGAGCCTGCGTGCTGGGTCCTGGCGGCCCGCACAAGTCAGCCACCTTCCCGCAGCCGGGATGAGAAGTGCCTGCCGGGCGGGGTTCTGGTTTCCACAGCCCGGTGTGCCATCTGGACAGGGACCCAGGCTGTCTCCGGGTCCCTGAGGCCTGGCCCCATCGAGGCACGGCAGGAAAGCTGGACGACTTTTGTCCCGGGGCTGTTGGAAGACGACCAAGAAGAGCGCTGTCAGGGGCCCCTCCAAGTTCCCGGCACGCCGTATCTGAATCTGGAGCAACTTTCAGTGGACACTTGTTCTGTTTGAAAGTTATTCCCGTGTACGAAGAGTGGGCTGGAATGATCCGGGGATGCAGGTACCTGTGGGTAGAATGTGGCCTCGACTGGACGCCTCGGTGCCAGAGCCAGCTTTGAACCTGCAGTTCGCACAGGACTGCCCTTCGGTGGGCAGGAATGGCCTCACTCGGCTGAGACGCTGTCTCCGGGGGCAGCCTGATTCGCCCCGGGTGCTCCCGTCTCCCCCACGTCACAGCCCGCAGCTTCTGCTCCCCAGTACTGAGGGCTGACGTGCCCAGCCAGAAGTGGGAAACACGTCTGAGTCATCGCAGGAACACGTGACAGAATAAACGGACGACTGAGAAGCGTAAGCTCTAAGAAATCTGGGTTTGTAGCGATGGCATGGGAGGCAGCGTTCTGAAGGCTTCAGGCCACACAGCGAGGCCGGTCTTGTGTGGCAGGCGGGCTTGAACCGCCGGGAGACCCTGTTCGGATGTGCACGCATGAGACACGCCACGTCCCCACCGCGAGCCCCATAGGACACAATGACCTGCTCCACGCTGAGACTCTGCAAGGTGCGATGGACTACCAGGGCCCTGCTTCTCAGACCCACTGTCATGCTCCCGATGGACCACTGGACCACTCAGGGTTCCCAGGCCGGGGTCCTGGGACTCTGCCCTCTTGGGCCGGGCAGGCTGGGGCGGGGGCCTAGGGGACATTTCGGTGAAAGCCCCATTCCGCCCCCTGCAGGTGGGATTGCCCACTCACGGGGGTGGGTTGGAACGGTGGCTAGGTGCCCGTGGAGCTGAGCTGATCAGAGGACGCCTGCTCTCCTGGCCAGTCTGGGGTTCATGGGTGGCCGGCACCGTCTGCTGCAACCTGCTCAAGAAACACGGTGCACCTTCTCAGCAATGGGGCTGGCGGGTGGCGTGGTGGGTAAGGCGCTGGATTCCTGCAGGGCCAACTGCAGTTCAAGTCCTGGACTTCACGGCTTGCTTTCTCACTTTCCCTTCCTCCCTCCCTCTCTCTCTGGTCAAAATAAAAAATAATAATAAAGAAATTTTTAAAAATGTCAAGTTTACACCTTTGATGTCAACGTGGATCTGCTCTCAATGCCAACCTCAAATTAAATAGGCAGCAAGGCCTCTGCAGCTCCGAGCGGCTCTCAGCGTGCGACTCCGTGGGGCTCTGGCAACTCCATTACCTCTGAATACTCAGACTCGGGGTAACTTTAATTCGGACCTTTTTAAAATTCCTTTGAGTAGGTATAATAATGAGGGGAGAAGTAGTTGGTAGCTACAGCAGTTGAGATCGATGGGAAAGAAATACCCCGGTGTCATGTAAGTGTGACAAAACTGTGCCACAGGCTCCCCGCTCACGAGCTGCCTCGTCGGTTCCCGGGCTCATCTGTGAAAAGGTGCTCCTTCATTTTCTTCCCTGTAACTTGAATTGAGCTGAAGCCAGGGCTTTTCATTTTCCTCGGCTGCCTGAGCTTTCATTTTAAGAAACGTTTCCTTTTTGCCCTAATCAGCCGGTGCCTCACCACAGAGACGCGTGTTCTGAGGGCCACGTGACGCGCTCAGGCGAAGACGTGCCTGGCCACCGTGGGCTGTCCTTTCCAGGGTCCAGGACGGTGGTGCGGGCCCCCGGGAACTAAGAGCTCGTGCAGGCTTACTAGGAGGGCGGAGCTCTGTGAATTGCTCTAAACACAATAAAACGTTCACCTGAATTCTTGATGACTGACTGATCGTCAACAGTAGTCTCATTCCTTGTTTTCCTCTTAGGTTCGGCTCATGAAAAGCTACCCCAACGAGAAGGCGCGGGAAAGACAGGTAAGGGTCTTAGAGTAAACGCCGGCTACGCCTTCGATCACTTGTCTAGGGAGCCGCGAGCCCATCCCAGGAGGGCAACGAGAGGCAAAGCGGCGTCCCCGCCTTGCGCTCGCTCACTCGACAAGCACCCCCGCCAAGCTGCTGCCGCTGCCCTTGCCAGGTGTGGGGCGCAGGCTCTGAGGCCCCGGCCGACGCCAGGGCTCCTGAGGCTTAGCTGGGTGGGCCTCCCGGAGAACCAGCGGGTGCCTGTGGAGAGCTCCGAGTTAGGGCTTCCGCCCCCGTGAGGCCAGCTGTGATGTCTCAGAAGACAGAGGGACACTTTTTCATCCATAGCAACCAGTTCCTCCCGGCCTGGTGCCAACCAGCCCATCCTTCCAGGGCTGTTGCTGCCTGCCCGTCCTCCCAGCAGGGCCTCGCCCTCCTTGCCCTCCCCTGAGCTGTCACTCTCAGCCGTGGGGACACGTGGTCTGCCTTCGTCTCCCGTCCTCCTGGGGAGTCTGCAGCCACCTTCAAATGCAGTTCCTGTTTATTCGAAGGTGGCGCTGCCTTGCTTCCCAGTGCAGACTGTAGCCGTGAGCTGCCACCGAGGACACGCACATGGACCGAGGTGCTCGCCCGGTGTCTTAAGCACACGGTGACACATGGCCGGCTCTGTCCCTGTCCTGAAGACAGCTCTTCCTAGAGTGAGGTCTCCAAGGGGCGTGAGCACGTTCCGGCTGTCTGGCGTGCATCTGCGAGGGGCAAGGAGGGCAGAGACTTGTGGAAGAGGATCAGATGGGCCATGGGCAGCCGAGGGCAGGGCAGGGCATGCGCTCTGTAGCTGTGCTAGGCTGGAGAGCACGGCCGTATGGGCCACTGGTCTGCGTCGAGGCAGGAGGTGGCGCTGCGTGAGCACTAGAGCAGGCTGACCCAGCTGGTGGGGTGAGGGTGGACGCGTTGCCACTCTCTGCAGGAAAGGAGGTTCTCGCTGCGTGAGCACTAGAGCAGGCTGACCCAGCTGGTGGGGTGAGGGTGGACGCGTTGCCACTCTCTGCAGGAAAGGAGGTGGTGGAGCACCCTGGGAAAGGGAGGGTGGACGCTCCCAGTCCACCGGGAAACAGGTCCCTGGGGGACTGGGCACACCCAAGGGGAGCATGCGCCCCTTCCACTGAGACCCTGGTCCCCAGACACGCGTCTCAGGGCGAAGACATGCCTGTGTCGGGCAAGTGTCCCGTGTGCCCATCTGCGCTTGTGCGTCTGACGGCAGCGGCGCCCGCCACGGCTCAGAGCCCCGGGTGACAGCCGAGCGCCAATGGGGGGCGTGGGGGCACAGAGCCGTGGTTTCCCTGGCTCGCTCCTGGCCGCGCTCGGGCCGCCTGGGGCAGGCCTTGCCCACGGGGTGGGCTGTCCGATGCCTGGACCACACCCGCCTCCCTCACTGTGGTCAGCCAGGCAGGGAGTGGGGACGTTGTGGCAGAGTGGGGACCCGGCTGGCCTCTGAGAAACAGCCGTGATGGTGTGTGTGACTGCTGTCACTCTCAGGCCCTACCTGTGCTACTCTGGGACTTGCACGACGTCAGGCATGTTTTCACACGTTCCCCAGTGTGTCTTATTTTCCTGGCAGAAGATTGTCAGACATTTGTCATCCTTGCTACTTCAGATCTGAGTATTTCAGATAAATGATGCCACACTGTTGTCATTACTTAGCAAACATTTTCAGGAGATGGTTCGCTGTTAACAATTTTTAAAATATCTGTTTTTCTAAGAAGCTGTGTGAGAGACTGCACTTTAATTGTCAGACTCCAGGAAAGTGGCGGGTCAGAGCTGACCAGAGCAGCCTG